AAAGGATCCAGGAAACATGTAGGAGCATCATTTATTGTATAACACAACAGGAAAACACTATTTGAAGTTTTCAGTGAATTTTCAACATGGAAAAATGTTTCCTGTTTTGAATGATGTTTCTCTATAGGGTGTCATGACCTTTCAAGTTTCCTCTTTATCAATTCAATTGACAGTTGTAAAAAAAGAAAACAGATCCGAGATCACATCACCTATAGTTCTACAATGGGTCAGTGATACTGGAGTTCTGCTCAAAGCTTTCACAGCTCAGGTTGCAAGAAAACGTAAGTGACCAACATTCAGAGCAGAGCTCTTTTGGAGCTAAGTGTTTAGTCCCCCAGGGACTAAAAAAAGTGAAAGCTTGATTTATCAGACAAGTGCTGTACACCCAGACCCCATCTTCATTAGAGACGTTTTCAAGATGTTTCCCTACTGTTGCTAACAATGGTGCTGCTCTCCCACTTTTAGCAATACTGAGAACCCTACTGATAAAAGGGCTGGCAGCGGTCAGCTGACTGCTAATAGGGAGTCTGTTAGACTAGCTCTGAGCAGGAGTACAGGACACATTAAGAATATCAATAACAGACCATTTACAATAGGGCTCCTGATGCTGGCAGAGCTGAACTGGTGATGGCCAGAGTGGCACATTTTTAGAAAGTGGCCCTAGCGTAGACAGGGCTCCAGAGTGAATAATCAGCCCTGAGATAGTATTTATAAAGTGCCAGTCAGGGACTTGGACAAGAATTTAATGAACAAGTATAACCATTACTATTTTCTACGATCTGCATGGGAAAAGCAGGTTGGGTGAGTCTGACAGTTTTACAAAGCTGCATAGGCCAGAGGACTACTTTTCTAGAGTAGAACAAATGTGTACACTTGCGAATTTAAACTCCAATGAGATGTTTTCCCCTCACACCTAGGTATGCACATAGTTCCTATCAGCGTCAAGTTATCCAGGCATGAGGAGGGGCAGATGACTGGTCAAGAGATACTGCTGAGATCACTCACCATAAAGTACTGTGCAAATTCAGAATACACTCAGGTTATGCAGATAACATTCAGTATCTTTGGCAGTGGAATAAATTTGTTACATATTTGGAGGAAGTTTCAGAGAAAAGATGGACTGTCAGATTGAGGAATCAAAAGAGCAAGAGCTACAAGTTGATCAATTAAGTGGCAGCACATCAAAACTAGATATTCATCTAAAAAACTTGAAGGAATTTCATTAACATCTGCTACAAAATTAGAGGAAGGGGGGAGGGGTGCAAAAGATAGTATGGAATACTAGCAATGGAATATTAGGAAACTGGAGACCAGTAAATGTCACCTTCGGTGCCATATGAACTGGTTGAAACAATAACTCAAGAAAGTGTTTGAGAAGAACATGATCTGAAAGGAGAAACCAGAATGGCTTCTGTGAAGGAAAGTCCTGGCTCTCCTTTTTACTAGAATTATCTACTGCTTTGCTAACGTTTGAAGAACAGCACTGGACTTACCCTCTAGTGAGAAACGTTGTCTACTAAGAAAACCAAGAAGTCACAGAGTGAAGAAGTAAATTCTGTCATGGATTATTAGAAACTGACTAAGGCAGAAAACAAGTAATATGGATAAGTGATCAATTTTCATCATGATAAAAGACCGGCAGTGGGATACTCAGAGAATCCACACCAGGAAGAGGGAGAGGAACAACAGAATCGTAAAATTTGCAAGTGATATTTTCGTTTAGTCAAGATTAAAGACTTTCAACTTCAGAGGGAACTAACACAGCGAGGTCCATGGTCTTGTGCTCGCCAGAAGAGGTGAGCAGACAGCAGGAGAGATGAGATTCAGTGTTGACTAATGCAAGGCAGTACATACTGGAAGGAATCATCTGAACAAAACATACATACTGCTGGGTTCTAAACGGACTAGTTGTTCTGGACAGAGAGGTGGGTGTCACTGACCAGCTCAGTGCGCAGTAAAGACCAACAAAAAAAGAAACAGGATGCTGGGACACAGAGTAGAGTAGAACAGTGGTTCCCAAACTGTGAGACACACCCTGTGCCAGAAGAAAGAAGCTGCTACGAAAGGTTGAAGTTTTATAAGAGTAGCTACCACCTGCTTCTGCCCATCGAAGATCCAAAAGCAATTATCCCTAGGATGAGAGACAATTGACAGAGGAAGCTGTCAGCTGCCATCCTCCATTACAACATACTGGATGGAAATCTGGTATCCAAGCTTGTCATTAGGCCAAGGAGATACTGGACCATAGGAACCAGGAGACAAGGGCCAGGTGGTGGGAGCCAGGGATGCAGAAAGGATCCAAGAGCTTGAGCAACAGGTGAGACCATGGAGCCTAAGAAGAGCCCGTGAATGGAGATGGTAGAGGAGGGGGAAGAAGGAACCAAAGCAAAAGGAGGATTGGATGGGACATGAAGGGTCTATGGATATTAAAAAGACAATGAGAGATTAGGGAAAGAAGAGAACTTTGCTTTGCCAGAGCTGGAGAGATTGCTTGTGTGGGGCAATTATCACCTGCCCCTTTGCAAGGAATACCAATAGCTTCTTGAGAAATACTGTAATTGCAAACAGACAAGATCAAGAGGAGAGGTGGTTCAGACTGAAAAAAAGCATGGGAACTCCTGCAATAGAAAATATTATAATGGCATTATAGAAGTCAATAGTACAGAGTCACCTTCAATACGGTGTTTAGATCTGGTCGCCCTACCTCAGGAGAGAGAGATGGCAGAATTTAGAAGGAATCTGGAAATGGAGGATGCAAAGAATTAAGAGGCACAGAAAAGTTTCCATATGAGGAGAGGGATTGAACATTGGGAATGTTTAGAGATAAGAAATGAAACGGAGCAAGATTAGCCATCAGAATTCATTGCCTCTAGGTATTGAGGTCAAGAACTTAGTAGGATTCAAAGGAAGACATCTATATAGCGAATACTGTGGATGTTCTCATTAGCTATGGTTTTGTGGGTTTTTTTAAAAACAAGAGATCCTGATGTTTTAGGGGACAAGCCAACAACTGATTGATGAGATTAGGAAGATTCTCTAAGCATCCACTATGAAGTTTCATGAACAATCCCCTGAAGCATCTGTGCTGGCCTAGATGGGCCATTGGCATGTTCTGATGTGACATGCACTTCTGACTTGCCACACCAGAACATGCCAATGGCATGCAAAGTAAAGCCAATAACGTCATACTGACCACTATAGCTGAGGGTTCATTGCCTGGAACTCAGATGGGAAGTAGTCACAAAACTAGTTGAACCATCTGGTTTGTTTTACTCAAAATGAGACTAACCCAGCAGCATTTTGAGTCAAAATCAAAGGCAGCATTCTGCAGAATCTCTATTCAGTTCTGCTCTATCAGTCCAGTGCTCAGGGTACTAACCTGGCACCTGGGTTCAGTTTTCTGCTCCACCAAACTTCCCATGTAACTGTGAGCAATTCAGTCTCTCAGTGCCTCAGTTGCTCATCTGTGAAACGGGGTCAGTGAAACTTCCCCACCTCACAGGAGTGTTGTGAGGATAGAAATACATTAAAGATCGTGATACTAAGTAGTGGGGGCCACATAGGTATCTAAGACAAACATTACATTACACACTCACAACGTGCTTTATACATGTAATGCAGTGGTTCTTAACCTTTACTGCAGCATGCACCCCTTTGGTTCTCAAAATATGTTCTCGCACTCCTTAAACCTAAAAAATATGTTCTCGCACCCCTTAAACCTAGATATATTTTAGTTTGTATATTACAGTAATTGTTAAAAAATGTATAATGTTAATAAATACATAGGTTTGATGAAACAACGTAGTTGTACTTATGTGCCTGTGCTTAGTTTGTGTTTTCGATGATTTACCTTCTAAAAAAATCTGGCACGTCTCGCACCCCCAAGGGGTGCATGCCCCCAGGTTAAGAACCACTGATGTAATGGATATTAATGGAGAATTCCCTGTGCCCATACTCTTGATGTTGAGGTGGTCAGACAACCCACAACTTCAAGTACAATATTATCCTATTCTTCCTCACCGGTCATTCTCCTACAAAAGAGACTCTTTGGCTAAGCCAACTTTCACAGGGATTATGTCCTCATCCCTTTCCTACAAAGTTGCTGACTTACGGCTGCCATGAGGAAAGCAGAGGTACTCCTTATAACACTGTTGCCTGCCTCTATATATACAGGCAGCAGTGCTAGAGAGGGAGACTGTGAGCCATGGTCACCGAAGGCTAACCATAGTCTTGCAAGAGAGCTTTTACCCCTGCAGAGGGGGAAATGGGAGGAAGGGGGTGGGAAGAAGCAGAAAGGTAAAGGCCCCATTGAACTCACTGCACTCTTCCAACCACACTTGTGCACAAAGTCACTGGGGCAGGGAGGAGTTTCAAGCACCTCTGCTCCCACAGACCAGCAGAGGTCTGAAAGAGGCAGAGCTCTGCCTCCATTCGGAAGAGACAACCCTGCAAATTGGAATTCTCTCTCCTGGGGCACTGAGACAGTGCACTGACAGACTGAAGAGTGCACAATCCCAGTGACGACAAGTCAAGTGTGATGTTCTGACTGCTGAAATGCAGCCACTTCTGAGGTGGCGGGCAGCCAGCCAGCAAGGAGAAACCCCTCCACACAATTCCATCTTTTCAGTTTTGTTCAGCTAGAATGCAAGGCTCTCACATATATTCTTAAACGTAAAATACTGTCAATAGGTGCACAGGAATTCAGGCCTCCTTTTATGTTGTAACTGCCTAACTAGTATTAATACACAGGATATTTCAGAGAGAGGCAGTAACCCCTGGTTAAGCATACTGATGTAACATACAGAGGTTATTTCACATAAAGGTGCCTATTTTTAATACATTAAGTACTCGTGCTGTTGGAGCCACACACTTTCTCTCAGTAAAGGTTGCAAGACATTTCAAGGTTAGACCAACTAATTTTAGAGTGCTTGTGGCAGCTTCATCTGCTCATTTAAACACAACAGTTAACCACGTCAACTAATTATGAGTGTTCAACCCACCTGCTCTGTATGGCCATGATTGAGGTTTTTCTTTATTTTTTCTCACTGGACGATGCAAGTTGTACAACACTGATCTTGTTTTTCAGGCAGGGACGCATAGTTCATTTGCCTGACGATCTCAGCAAACAGTTCATCCACCATGGTTTTACTCTTGGCCGATGTTTCCATGAATGGACAGCCCCACTCCTGAGCCAAAGCTCTGCCTTCTGCAGATAAGACCTCCCTCTCAGATTCCAGATCCACTTTATTCCCCACTAGGATTAGAGGAACTTTTTCATATCTCTTCACTCGGACAATCTGGTCTCTCATTGGCTTGATGTCCTGATTAAACAATCCAACTGGTTAATACACTTTTAGTACTAATCATATTTTAAAATAGTAATCACAACAGATTGCTGTAAGTTAACACTGGTTCCAGGAAATAGATCACTATAAAAACAAGTGTTTTAACAAGCCTATAGATCTTATGTGTAACTGAAAACAAACATAATAGCTTATGAAAAATTCCTAAATGGATACCTTGGATTTAGACTAGGGTGTGTCTAAAATTCAGAAATTTATCCTCCATTTGTAATGCACATTCTTCAGGGCACATGGCACTTCCTGTGTGTTTAGAAAGTGCACTACTGCAATGTAAAATTACCTCTCATTTCCCAGAAAACCTTTTGGTTAGGATTAGAGCTGGTCAGGAATTGACAAAACAGTTTTCCATTGGAAAATGCTGATTTGTCAAAACCACAACTTGTTGAGAAGGTTTTTTAGGTCCAGGAAGGAATTTCCAGCCACACTGAATAACCTGGTGGTTATGGCAATCACCATCCCAGGTGAACTCCCTAGAGTGGGTGTAATTTTCTGCGCAAAGTTTCAAAAGGTCTCAGTTTCATTCTGATGAAGAACCGGAAAAACTGAAATCTCAAACATTTTCATGGGCTGGGTCACCAGTTTTCTTGCCCAACTCTAGTTAAGATAAAGGCAGAGTTTGTATAAATTAACTTAAAGTTTTGAACTGAATCAATTTTCTGTTCCTCAGCAGGATTTGCTAGAAAAAGAGAAGTTCGCCTTTAAACTCATGACAGAAACTGAAGTCTACATTACGCATCTATGTTATGTGATCACTTAAACAGATGGGAAACTTGTGGCCAGCCTACTGCCTGTGAAAGTTAATTAAATTGTTAACTCACTATCTTCTCCCGCATAGTTGTAGCATGCTTAAAAGTGTTCACTGTGAACACACTTGGTTATGCCTAAATGGCAAATTTAGATACAATAAAGACATGTTTTAATATTCTGTGAAACCCAATACTCCTATAATCTGCCCAAAGGTGAAAAAGGAAGAGACATTTATATACCATACTCCTGAAAGTTTAGAGCCACTTCCTCCACCACCTCTGATTTAAGATTTTAACTTGTTACAGTAAGTAAAAGTTTACAATTTCTTGCAGGGTTCTAGGAGAGAAGCAATTAAGTGCTTGAATCTGTCACTGGTAATAGAACTTCACAGGGAGATTTACATCCACACTGTTTTGATTAAATGTGCTAAAGAAGAAGAAGAAGAAAAAAAGCAACTGAAGTGGAATATATTCATCCACTCTTAGATTTTTTTTCTTAACTACATGCCTCAATTCTTGAGGGAAAACCTCCCAATTCCTAGATGAGAGCTGACCATAGGCAGGAGAGAAACATCCCAGCATGAGGATTGTAGTTCCTTTGCAAGGAAAATAAATCCCTAACTTGGATACAATTTATCTAGGTATGTACCCTCATCTAAGATAATGTTCAGCCTTCAACAGAAACATTCTTCCTTAGTGGGGGTGTGAAAGGTTTTGCCAAGCAGCTGGACTACACCCAGCACAAGCAACCGAATTGAAGCCAACAAACAAGGTCCAAATCTCTGTTGCCAAGTCCTGTCATTTCCCACAGATACAAGCTGCTTATTACCAGAGGCAGTTTAGGCCAGTGACAGGTTGCGGGATTTTTTGCTTCTTGTCAGTTTTTGCAATGCAAGTTTGTGGGTTGAATTTCATTTTCACATGTGCCCTGTCGTTCTC